GCAGTTGGCATCTTAACATGTGGGTCACTGAACATGGCTTTCAGTAAGACCAGAAACAAACTACTTGTAGCACATCTGCCAACTGATCAACCAGATCTTTCAGTGGGCAGGAAGAATTGAGTACTGTTACTGGTAATGAGGAACCATTAAAGGTTCTTAAACTGGGGAGGGATTTCTGTTAGCTTAATGGCATCAGTGTGGAAGAAAGGCTGGAGGAGAAAGAGTACAGGCAGGAAGACCAAGGAATAAATGATAAGCTGCAAATCACAGGAAGGAGCAGTGAGGAAGGAAAGGACAGATGAATATGAGCCCCTCCTGGTCTAAGATTGTCGGTAAGCACAGAGTCAAAACCTACACAAGAAGGCTGGAAAGAAACAACATAGAAACAGTAATACATTTTTTCCCCGGACCGTTTTTAAATATGATAAGGGAACAAGACTGTCAGAGGCRAGAAACAGCTGTATGGGTAAGGTTTAAGAAGCTTCCTGAAGCTATTCAGCTCTTTGTAACCAGCTACATCAAGGACCACTCTGGTTATGTAAAGAGCTGCTGCTCTTCTGAGGTCCTGAGGAAGGTCGATTTCCAAGTGGATGAGATGCTGGAATTAATGGACTCCAGCTTCTTTTGGAGGATGGGCCTCCTGCCAGGGCTGATTAGCCCAGCTGGCCTGTCCACTACTTCTGTTTTATTGCTTCCTTTCTCATTAAGGAAGGTGTTGGTGTGGATAACCGTAAACAACATGCCTGCTGTTACAGTGCTACCATCTCTCACACAGCCAGTGGCTGGAGCCAGGCTCTCAGGAGTCTTTTAAAAGACTTAGGTCACAGTATTAGAGGCAGGATATCAAGGAAATGCAGGAAAAGGAAGCCCAGTTTTGAAAAGGTGTCACATAAATGGTTATTTTCCTATTTTTCTTTTCCTTTTTAAAATTTGAAGTCATAGGGAAAATTAAACTTTGTTTTTGAAAAATCAAGGATGTTTTGCCTAAGTGCTCTCTTTTTCTTCTCTTACCCTCCTCCCTCAGTGTATCCACTTGAAACAGTTTTGACAGTCCCTGACCCTAAAATCTGAGGGAAGGGAGCTGGAAGAGATTGTCTTTATGCCATTCTACCTCAAGCAGGCCCAGGGGTTCTGAGCAGCCACTGGCCACTTACTGAACAGTTCTGTGGGTGCCTCAAAGCTCCTTTTACCACATGGGGCCAAGGACTGAAGTATTTAGCAACAAAAGAACTGAAAAGGAACTAAAAGCCCCACTTCCCTCCACCCTCACTTAAATAATCTCCCCAGACAATGTATACCTTAAAATAATCTTCACTGGCACATCATTTCTCACCAGGAACACTTTTTCTTTCCAAAGTTCTCTAATTTTCTCTCTTCCAGCATAGGGAGAATCATATTCTCTCAGAAAACCACAGTGGTGAATTATGGCCTTTGGTTTCTTACAGTTTCACTTTCTAAGGGAATTTTATAGCTGCTTCCATCTGTTTTTCCTAATTTGTTCTCTCTTCTTCTGCCCATACAGATTTCCTCCCCAAGCCCAGCCAGCACCCAACCTCAGTCTCTGTAGCTCCACCACACATCACCATGCTGGTCTTCTCTGCTCACGGAAGACACAGCTCATCAAGCCTCCCGCTATGTCCCCAACAGAAAATACTCCGAAAATAGTTTTTGATTTGCACTGACTGCTCCTAGAACCAGTCACATTAATGCTTTCTAGGACTGTTTTACCCACAAGATATTTCATATAACTGATGTAGGTTTTGTATCAAAGTTCTACCTCACTGTGATTTTTGTTTGTGTGGCTTGACAGGAGTTGTCTGTATTGAGAGTAGATAAGTGAACTACTCTGAATGTTAATTATGTTGATGTGAATTAGCTATATGTATTTTATATTCTAAAGTGGCCTTTTCTGCAGCTTAGCATACATCTGGGACATTCCCTATCATCCAGTATGGTGTGTGAAGGAAAATAACCATGGCTAATGTTAGATTCATGCAGACACAGTTACATGTGCCTTGGACAAGGAGAGTGATCTAGATAACATTTTGGTTTATATTTATACCAGATACTATTTCAAGTGCTTTGCAAATATTAAGTAGTTTAAATAACATAAAATCCTCTGAGGCAGGTAGTCTTAATATTCTAATTTTACAGCCAAGGAAACAGAAATGCAGAGTAGGTACTGTGCTATACTCAAGGGCACACAATGAATGGACAGTAGAACCAGAGTTCAAATGCAGGTGATCTGTCTCCAAAGACTATTCCCCTAACTACAACCATGCTGCCTCCCCACTAATAATTTGAGGAGGATGAGGCAACTGGGATTAAGCCCAGATCCATTAAGGGACTGGCTACTTCTTCACTCAGGTCTCAGCTCAGAGATCACCTTCAGGGGGTATAATTTATAGAATTACAATTTAAAGAATTATACCCCCCACCACCACCAAGTCCCCTTGACCACAGTGTAAGCCAATGAGAGCAGAGACCTATTTTCATTGCTGTATACCTGCTTGGCATTGAGCAGGTGCTTAATCAATATTTGTTGAATAAATAAATTAGTGCATTTGGTAACGCCTTAATATAGCTGGATAGAAATCCTGATTCCTTTCCTAGCCTCATTTTTATATGTTTTCATATTCTTCTCCGGCTTTTTCTACCATTCTGTGGACCTTCCTCTGATCTAGATCTTTGTTTCAGAGGTGACCAGTTTTCACTTATATTTGACTTTTTTTCCCTTTTATTGTTACTTGATTTTAACTTCCATAATCAAAGATTCTCTTTATCTTTGGGTGATAGGAGCCAAAGGGACTTATATTCATATCATAGAAACTAATATATTTTAACGTTTTATATTTAGAATGGACTTACAGTTCATCTATTCCAAATCCACATATTTAAATGTTGATGAAGAAATTGAAGTCCAAGATAAAGACTTCCAAAAGTCTCCAAGTTAGCATCTGTTGGAACCCAAAATTTCCAGCATATATATTTTTCCATATGATGGTTCACTGCACTCCTAGACTCTACCTCTCTTTTTGCTAGAGTGTTTATATATATATTAGATACAATACACATAACATTCACCCTTTCAAAGTATGAAATTTAATGGATTTTACTATATTCATAGAATTTTGATATCACATTACCAACTAATTTTAAAACATGCTCAATCCCAATCCCAAAAGAAACCTCACACTCATTAGTAGTCATTCCCTATGCTCACATACCCCCAAACTCCCTCCTCTTCAATCCTGTTATTATTTAGATGTGGTGTCCCCCAAAAGCTCACATGTGAGATAATGCAAGAGGGTTTGGAGGAGAAATGATTGGGCTATAGCCTTAACCTAATCAGTGACTAATCCCTGCTAGGATTAACTGAGAGGTAACTGGAGGCAGGCAGAGGTGGCTGAAGGAAGTGGCTCAATGGGTGCATGGCTATGGGGTATATATCTTGTATTTGGAGAGTGGAATCTCTTTCTCTCTCTGCTTTCTCATCAACCTGTGAGCTGCTTCCCTCTGCCACACTTTTCCACCATGATATTCTGCCTCACCTCGAGCCTCAAGGAATGGAGCCAGCCTTCTATAGACTAAGACCTCTGAAACTGTGAGCCCTCAAATAAACCTTTCCTCCTTTACAGTTGTTCTTTAGTTACAACAGCAAAAAAGCTGACTAAAACACTAAAAAACCACTAATCTACTTTCTCTCTCTCTGGATTTGCCTGTTCTGGATATTTTATATAAATGGAACCAGATAGTGTTTTGCCTTTTATGCCTCGCATCCTTCACTCAGCTTAGTTTTTTCAAGGTTTAACCATGTTGTAGAGTTTACAGTTTTGTTTTGTTCAACCAAATCCTCTTTCTCCAACTATCTCACTTTAACATCTGTCTTTGAACACAAAACTAAACTGTGAATATCCTGGAAGCCAAAGGCAAAAAGTTAAAAACAAATCTATTACTCAGTTAATTATAAAGGAAGCATGAAGTTTATCATATGCACAGATACATTCCTAGCACTGCATTTTAAGGGAGCTCACAGATGTCCTTTAATTTTACCTTGTGATCATTTAAGGTATTTTTCTTACTTTCCCATCATTATGATTTCCAGCTTCCTCTGGGTGGGGCACTCTAAGCAGTGTTGAAAAGGGTGAGAGGACTGTCTTGTGGCATCCTCAAATGACTCTTATTTTTCCCCTGCAGGTTTGGGGATTGAACTCATGGCTTTACACATACTAAGCATATGCTTTACCATGGAGCTTCAAACCCAGGCCCAAGGGTGAATTTTAACAGTATTCCAAATCAACCTCCACCGTTCATCCTCAGGATCTTCCTACCAGTTGCAATCCTTACTTCCATCTCAAACTTGTAGATCAGAGACTGAGCCACTTTAAAATTTTAGAGGGCAACATTTTGACAAGAGGCTTTGCCTCTGCTGGGAAGGCATGCAGCTGTGGTTGCTCCCTGAGTAGGATCTGACCTGTGGGTCAGTGACTTTTCTTTTTACACTTACTACAGTTATTTTCAAACTGTGGCTACAACATCCAAGCCATTGCTATTATAAAATAATTCTCTAAAACATCACCCTCTACTCTCTCATGATTAATGAATTCTAACATGTGGATAGTGCCTAACAGAATACTGAAAACTTTGCTTTTCAATACTTGTTAATATGGAAACATAATATGATTTTTATTTTGGGACCTGTACTGACAATGAACAGTGTTCTCATCCCTAAAGTCACCTCACATCCTAGAATATGCATTTGTTCTATCACATTGTCACTTAGGTCTTCCTGAGGAAAAACAATAATTTCTTTGAGGGGATATGTATCAATGTTAATGCTTTGGTGTGCTGTATGCCAACACAATTGTGTGCATCATCAGGGAAAAAAGTACCTGGGAGCAGGGAATCAGAGAAACTTCCTTTAGGGAATGTGTGTTGCTTCTCATCTGGGAATAGATTTTAAAAACTGATTATCCCCTTCTACTTTGTTGTTTGGCCAGGTGGTTAATACATACACCCCAGGAAAGAAGATTTGGCTTGAAGGTGTGGTGACTACCTCAGCTGGAGGCACAAACAATCTGTCAGACTCCTATGCCGCAGGATTCTTGTAAGTAACACAATTGCATTCCCAGGGACTTTCAGGAAAGAAGGACAGTGATGCTGTAACATGCTTGTTATTCTGCCCATTGCTGGGTAAAGCTTGCTTCCCATTGAAAGTTCTTCATCTGTTCATCTGTGAATACTTTTAACCACTTAACAGTTATTAGTTCCTTATCTAAATACTAAAATGTCAGACAAAGGTATCAGAGCAAGAATGAGAGAAGCAGGAGGAGGAGTAACAGTAACATAATAATGAGAAGAACTTTATTAATAAGTTTAAAGGTTTTTGCGGGAGGTGCCGGAGATTGAACTCAGAAGCATTCAATCACTGAGCCACATCCCCAGCCCTATTTTGTATTTTATTTAGAGACAGGGTCTCACTGAGTTGCTTAGCCCCTCGCTTTTGCTGAGGCTGGCTTTGAACTCAGGATCCACCTGTCTCTGCCTCCCAAGCTACTGGGATTACAGGCATGGCCCACCATTCCTGGCTATAAGTTTACAGTTCTGACCACAGAACGGGCAATGTACATATTCTCATCCAATTTTTACCATAATTCTGGGAGATAGTTAATAGAAGTCGTGGTTTTTGCCCTTCAGAAGCATATGATTGGATATACTAGGATTAGAGATAACTCTATCATAAAGTTATCAGAGATAAGTGCAACAATAATAGTAGCTTTAATTTACCATGTGCCAAGCACTTTCTAAAGTATTTTATATACATTTAATAATTTAGCAACCAGTAAAATTGATGTTATGGTTTCCAAATTGAGACAGTAAAATAGGAACTATTATTATCCTTAAATTACAGATGAAGAAATTGAGTGACAGTTGAAGTAACACCCAACCAAGGTCACTTGCTTTAACAGCAGAGCTCAGACTTAAATCCAGATGGTCTGCTCCAGAGTTCAGCCTCTTCACCACTCTCTTTTTGTGTCACATGGTCTTTCCAAGAAAGTGACAGGCCTGTAAAGAAATAGAGAATTTCTCTGACTGGGAGTTTCAGGAAGGGTTTCATGCAGGAAGTGGCATTTGAGTGGGACATAAGATTACTCCAATTTCTGCAGGTAGAGAGTGACCCTGGCTTTCTGACTGAATAGTGTTCTCCTAAGAATTGGAGTTTTGCCCTCAGTTATGTGTTTTACTACTAACAGCTATTCATAATTGTCCAATGCAGTTCTCCTCTATTGAGCTAGCTTCTTATGTCCATGAGGGACAAATCAGGGAAGCCAACAGCCCCTTTATAGATGGAATCCTGTCCAATGTAGATGAGGGTAATAAATCAGTATGATTCATGGTGATACCTGGGGTCTTTCATCTCTTTATCCTTAGCATCCAGCATTGTGTGGCATAAAGTTATCAAGAAGCATGTTCAAATGAATAAAATGGAGTGAATCTGCATTTAATACAGACTTGCTGAGAGTTTTCTTTCCTATCAACACTGGTTTGATAGGAGCCGTGTTGCAAGTGAGCACCAGGTTGGCAGTCATTGGTGCAGGGTACTTCTTGGAGTGAGCAGAGGTAGGGCCATTGTTCAGCCATCACCAAATGACTCTGCTTTGGGGTCCATCAAGCAGCCCAGTTGTGCTGGGAGTTTGTATGAGCATTCTTCCCTTTAAGGAATGCTGTGAAATGAGAAATACAACAAACCTTTATGGAGGCATATAGAACTGCCTTTACATGAGCATCAGCCAAATATCCATAGATGTTTCTGTATTCACTGCACAGCACATAGATAAACATTGTTGTTTAGATTTGAGTTACCTTTCAGATAATAAATGTTTGATTGATGCAGATCAGATTAAACTAGTCCATTCTGCTCCTAGTCTTCTCTCCTATCTCTTTGTTACCTTTTTGGTCTCAGCTCTATCCGCATCCAGCAATATATCATTTGAATCTAGTTCTCCAACTGGCATAAATTGGAGAAAGGGAAAAAAAGGAAAGGATTCTAGGGAGGGGAGCTCCAAGGAACTAGTAAGAAATTGAATAGATGGTATTTTCTCAGTAATTTTTCAGTATATCACATAACTATGAGTTCACTAGGACACATACAAATGCATGCGTGAATCAGAATTTTCTGCTAACAAGTATTCAAAGGTAGCGTTTCCCGTCAGGGATTTGAGATTCTGTGGCATATGGCAGATATATCTTTGGCATGGTACTGTGTCTCCAGCACCTAGTGTTGTCTGGCACATAATAGTCAATAAACATTTGTGGAATGGAAAACAGTGGCTGGGACAGCATCCTTGTTGGGATATGCAGTCATTTTACCATGTTTCTCTACCTGAGCATAGAAGGAAGACTAACAAAAAGCCCCTCTCCTGTGGCTTATCATTACATTATTATTATCATCTTCAGAAAGATGAAGATAACTTCAGTACACCATTCTACTGTGAAAGCCATAAGGCAGCAGTGGTCTTGGCCATAATCATTTTCTTCAAGAACTACCCATACACTAACAAAACATTAGGTTTAGTTATTGATAGTTATTTGCTTAGTACCTATTCTGTGCAAGTCCTGTGTTAGACTCTGAAGAGGTCACAATAAGAATGTGATACTGTTCCTGAAATGTATATGCACGGGTATTTACACACCCAGTGCTTTACTAATGATACACATGATCACACAAGCATAAATAGATATCCTCAATGTTGAAAATAATTCCCAGGGTTTATAGTTCATTAATTAACACTATTGAATGAACAATGAATAAGGGAATAAATGGGATCTTTTCACAAATAAAATCACCAAGGTTCAACCCTGTATGATTACATAGATGCTGCTAGATGGAGGAGCTCTAGAATCTGTGATCACCTATTTACTCTTTTTTTTGTTTCTTTTTTCATCCAACAAGCTTAAGGCTAGAAAGGCTAGAGAGACATACTTCTTCTTATAGATAACTATTTGCTCCATAGAGACCCCATTACATGTGTACTGTTCCAACATGGAAAGAGCACTAGTTAAGAGGCATTTGCTCAAAATTCCACTATAACTCTACCACAGGACATGTTTGACAATTTAACTAACTGCCATCCCTCTATGCCAAGGGAAAAGCTCGACTTGTTATCCTGACTTCACAGGATGATAATAAGGCAAGTGACTTAGCCACGTGACATTCCAAAAGTAATTTCAGGTGTCTGGGTCACAATGTCCCAATTTGAACAAAAATAAACACAAAGAGGGTTCTGTTGTATTATAGTCAGATTTTCCTTTTGATTTAAAATTTTTGTTTTTGTGTTTTGCTTTGCTTTACTTTTTATTTTGTTTTTGTAATTCTATCAGTAAATTTGTGTTAGTTTTTATGAGAATAAAATAAAATTTAAAATGTGAAAAAGACTGTAAAGTGTGCATAATATTTAGAATATAAAAATTAGCGGCACTTTTTATTTTAGCAAGAAAAAATTTCAGTTCTTATACAAGTCATGGGTTTGGGGCTCCATAGGGTTTCAGATTTGRGAAATTATAACTGTGTAATTTCCCCCATGTGATGTATGGTCATTCTTAAGTTTCCTAGAATCTAATTTTATCCAGATTAAAAAAAAAAGAAAGAAAGAAAAAAATTCAACCTAAAGAGTACTGAGCACTTACAGTGTTCCAGGAACTGTGATGGGTGTTTGGGGTATAAGTTTAAGTATTGTGTCTATGCTTGATTAGCTCACAACTGGTGGGGGAAGAGGTGATAAGTGGTGATGATCCAGTGGGTTAGCAGAGGGCATGGCAGAAGTAAGAGTTCTGGAGAAGTCTAGAGGAAGGTGCTATTTTGGGGCAGCAGGGTTTAAAAGCAGAAACCAGATTTGGAGATTAATAAATGGGAAGAAATTTGCCAAATGGAAAGACATGGGTTGGAGGAGGACAGGAAGAGAATTCTAAGCAGAAGTAAACACACATATAAGGACTTGGGTAAGTACAAGAAATCGTGGTGCATTTGGGTAATCAAGAGTAGTTTTATGTGGTTTAGAGCCTTAAGGAATAGGGTTTAGGGTGAGAGAAGAGGGGAGATGAAGCCAGACACACATGTGCTAGGGACAGCCTGTGAAATGCCTCATCTTTCATCTGAAGATTGAAGTTTGAAGTCACGTTTATTACATATGCACTTTGTTGTTATTTAAATGTTTCCCTGAGTTTCAGAAGAATACAGAGTGAGAAAGGAAAAATKAATGCATTAGAGGATGAATGAATTGAATATATAAATAAATGCAAAGTCAGTGGTGACTGTTGGAGGAATCAAGAGGGCAGTATTTTTGAAGGATGACAGCCCCTGGGAAGTGGGTATAAGATAAGTGTGTGAGTAACGCAGGTCTTCCATTATAACACATGTGGAATAGTAGTATACTTGCATCCCTCAATGGTTGATTATAGTGCCAAATAAAATGTTATTGAATTGGCTGTTGGTGGGAATATATGAAAGATGCAAATGGCTGGACAACTGTTGTGTAGGCCACAGGTCTATATAGGATAGAGTCCCATGAAAGGTACATGTACAATGACAGATGTAAGCAGGGGAGTTTGAGGATGTTCTCCTGTGACTGCAATAGCCTGTGGCCATGGAAGATGACATCAGGTTCACAAGTGGCTAGGTTGTTCAGTTTTTAGTATTCTAGGAATAAAAGTCATTATCAACAGTGACTTTATGACCAAGGATTCATCTTACTTCCCAGGACCTCAGTTTCTTTTCTTATAAAATAAAGAGATTAAATTTGGTCATCTTTGAAATCTCTTACAGCTGTGTATTCAATGCATAGAATATTTTTCTCCTTTATAGTACTAGGTAAATTTGATGAAGGAATGTTAGTGTATATGTGTGTCGTAGTTAGTCTGTATAGATCTGTTGCATGCCATTTTAGAAATATACTGATGTAGCATTTTTCCTCTACCTTATAGATGGCTCAACACTTTAGGAATGCTGGCCAATCAGGGTATTGATGTTGTGATACGACACTCATTTTTTGATCATGGATACAATCATCTGGTGGACCAGAATTTTAACCCACTACCAGTAAGTGTGGCATAAAGATTCCCATTTTCTTTTCCATATCATTCAGTTCTTTGTAGAGAATATTTCTCCTTTTGCTGTTGCCAGTTAATTTCATAAATCAGACAGAAACATTCTTGTCTCTGTTCCCCTGACCTATTTCATAGACTTTGGGCTTCACCCCCCCACACACACACACACCTCTACCTCTATATAGAGACTCACGCATACACATACATATGCATGGATGCATATCTACATATATATTTACATTATATTTATTAACATTTATTAAATATTTATGTATTGATTACATTATTTTAACAAACCTAGTGCAGTTGAGATTCCACGTCTACTTGTGGCCTGTTTGAACTCTGCTTGAGGGTGAATTTTTCCAGATTGTTTTCTTTTAATGCTAATTCGAGACATTAGTTAATGTCAAATGCAACATGTTGAAAGCAGATGGGGGAGTGTTAGCCAAGATTAGATACAGTAGGAGCCCATCTCTTAGGGAACGGCTGAAGTACGCTTACAGTTAGATGTCAATCTCTAGATGACAATGAGGGGACTTATCCAGAGCACCATTTTCTCTAGGAAAGTAAATAGAAGAATAAAGTGAAATGGCAAAAGCAGAGTTCTGGATTTGTCTGGTGAACTCATTGATCAGTCAGAGAAATCCGACAAAAGCTGCTTTTCATAAATATTACGTAGGTTATTCTTTTACACAGATGTCATGGTTATGATGAAATGTCAGACTCCTCTCATCAACTCAAAGAATTTCTAAGTGGGGTCTCCCCTTCAAGATGATCAAGTTCTGCCTTATCAGGGACTGATAAGCAGGGGTGAGGAGGAGAAAGAATATAGAGCAGCCCTAGACTCTGTACCTGTGCCTGGTCCAGTGTTCTTCCTACCACATTACTGTTGCCCTCGCATCCACAGGAAACAAACCCAAACTAGAAGTGATCCTGCCATTTGCCTCCCTGGTTCTAGCCCATTCCCTCCACCTTCTAAATCCTGAGCCAGGAGGTAACCAGGTCAAGAACAGGGAACAAACTGGCACCCAACAGCACCATTTCCACGTCTCCAAAGAATCATTCTGGGTTAGAGTACTCAGGAATTATTGTGTCACTGGATGCACATGACTCCAAGACTTCAGCTAAATCACAAATACTAAAACTAACTGGTACAGTTCCTTTTATTCACACAACAGGGATACCTCTTCCAAAATATGTGTGAGGAGCTGGAATGGGAAAGGATGGAGAGTAAATTTTCAGTTTGGAACCATAGGGGTTTGTTCTGTTTTCTTTTAGCTCAAATGTTTGTAGAAGTAAAACAAAATAATTAGAAAAGTGTCTATGAAATGTAAGCATTAAACACATATAAGACCACATGTTCTATTTGAAATAAATATCTATTTGAACATCTATATGACATCTGCATAAAAGAATAACGTAGTAATATTTATGAAAAGCAGCTTTTGTAGGATTTCTCTGACTGATCAATGAGTTCACCAGATATTTATTTCAAATATCTATTGAACATCAGGGGCACTAGTAATGGATAAATGAATAAATAAATTATAATAAAGTCCTGTGGAGGCTCCTCTAGAATACATGTGCAGGAAGGGCCCAAGTACAGTAAGAAGCCTGCTTTGCAGGTTTCACAGAAGAACCTTCCAGGCAGAGCAAGAATCTAACACAAGGCTCTAGGGCAAAAGCAAAGTTGGCATGTTTGCAGAAAGACAAACACCAGAGTGACTGGGTCCCGGCAGGGAAGGGGAAGACTGACTAGAAAGAAGTAGGTAGGTAAGGGTCAGATTATGCGGGGCAGTTTGGCTTCAATTATAAGTAGTAAAGAAAGCCTTTGGAGGGCTTTAATTATGGAAGTAACAAGATCCAACTTACATTTTTACAACCTAGCATAATTAATGCATCAAATATTAGTTACTTTAATAATGCATTTTAAAAAACATTTACATTTTAAAATATTTACAGATCACTTTTATAAATTGTGGATCAACAACATTCTAAAATTCTATCACCCCTTTCAATCTATCTTTCCTTCTTCCTTTCTATTCTTTCCTTCCTTCATTCTAATTTCATTCTCTCTTCTTGATCATATACTATGTGCTGATCGCTATTCCTGGCAATCGGTCACAGTGGTAAACCAAAAAGACAAGGTCCCTGAACTCTTGGAGCTTATAATTTAATGCTGTGTACTGAGAAGTGGAAAATACATAAACATATGAAAAAGATAATTGCAGTTTTCCAAAACTGCTGTGAAGAAATCCTGGTAAGTTAAATATAACTTTCAAATTTACTTTTCTGAAGAGAAACTAAGGTCCTAGGAGGTTATTAAGTGAAAATACCAGGCCAAACAAGTAGCCAGAGCTGGAAATCTCAGGATTTTCCAGCTTTAAATTTCCTTTTCTTTTCACTGAGCCATACTGTTTCTTGCAGCATTCTCTTAGGTGTCTTTGCAAGGGCCTAGAGAGAATTTTGCCTTTGAATTAAATCAGAAGATAAAAACAGGCCTATTGGGAAATTGAAAAGAAGAAACAGTCTAGAAAAGGTCTTTAGATGACTAGACAAGCTTCATTTCCAGAGTCGGACAATCCTGGATTCCTAATCAACCCTCCATCTACTTTTACACTGCCATATATACATTAAAGACGCAAGTTCCCATGGCTTTGTTCTCCCATAAGAGTTATTGCCAGTGACTTCCTTTAAAAGCCTGGCACAAAAGACCTCCAGTGATACATGATGGCAGCAGAGCTCATAGAACACCATAGGAAACTAAAACAGGTTCCATGGACTCAGCACAGAGTCTCAAATGAACTGAGCAGCTATATTTCTGGAAACACCAAGCTCTAATAGAGAAACCACATATAAAAAGCACTCTTAAAAAGTAGCAGGCTTTCTTTTCTTTCTTTCTTTGTTATAATAAATTCTGTACCTTATAAGTAGAGAACTTGGCAGCTGGGAGTGTGTCCTAAGTCTCGCCTGGACAGAATTTAGAAGGCTAGGCCCTGGGCACCAATCTGACAGACAGAGCCAGCAGTTCCCTGAAATGTGTAATGAACACAAAGCTGGGAACCCTATTGGTTGCCACTTCAGAGAGTTGCGCAGTTGATAACGCATACTGCCAATATAAACGTGTGGATTTTGTATCGTGATTAAATCTTAAAGAGAGTTTGTTAAGAGCTTAAGGAATTAGTGAGTTGTGTTTTGGTTGTCTCCCAGAATAATAAGTTAATTTCAATTCTGGTTCTTTAAACTCAGCTCAGTGCATTTCAGGAAAGGATCTTATTAACAAAAAAATGTCTTGTTTTTGTTTTTGTTTTTGTTAGAGCTCTTGGGTAAATTCAGAAAAAAAAAATGAGCATCTTAGCCTTGTGGCTCCTCAAGCCATATCCCAACTACCCCTCCCTAGTCAACTCTGATCCCAGTTTGTGGTAGTTCAGCACAGCTCTGGCGTAGCCCTTCCAATAGCACCAATCCAAGGTAAGAGAGGATGTGAGGACAGCCCTTTAAAAGAGAAACAAAAATGATGAGTGGTAGCCAGGAGTTAATGGGGATGGAGGGCAGAGCACAGAGGAGTTTTAAGGCAGTGAAACTACACTAATAATAATATCTCTGTGGATACATATTATTATACAATTATCCAAACCTGTGGAATGCACACTATGGGCGAACCCTACTGGAAACCATGGATTTTCAGTGTTAGTGATTTGGCCATGCTGGTCCATCAAATACAGTAAATATACCATTCTGGTGGGGAATGTTGATATGGAAGAGAATGTGCACCTGTGGGGACAGGGTTATGTGGGACATCTCTATACCTTCAGCTCAATTTTGTTGTGAGCCTAAAACGTTTTTAAGAATAAGTCTTAAAAGGAAAAAGAGAAAGGAAAAAAGAAAAACTTTTGCTCAGAGAAGACAATTTTCACCTACAACTCCTGCTCCACAGGGTTGTTCCTCTAGAAAAGTGGCAGCCCTCCCCCTGTTGTGAGACTTTGTTTTGCCTGGGAAGAGAAGAACATTTAGTTCAGCCATGCTTCATCACTCAACTCCCACCCGTTTCCCCTGACCCCCCTGCCATTGGGAAAGAGGGAACGCCTGAGTCTCCACAGCCAGCCAGCCAGTCACGGGCTCCCCTGGGAGCAGGCGATGTTTGTGCAGAAGAGATCTGCACATTCAGTGGACATAGTCCAGACCCCACCAGCCATGGGCATTTCTCCTCAGAGAGGGTTTTGGAATTTAGCTTGCTGCTTTTTTTAAAAGCTTGATTTACAGAGCCTTCAGGGAAAGGAATGGTGAGTTACTAGACAACATCTTCCTAACTCCCACGCCAGGCTAGCAAATGCAGTCTTCACACAAATATAATTCAATTCAGAAAACATCAACACCTGAAATCTATCTGGCTCCATGTTGGGCATTATACGAATACACACTTAAGTAAGATATAGTTCCTCCATCTGCAGAGCTAATGACGTGTGTGTGTGTGTGTGTGTGTGTGTGTGATTACAATTAAATCCTATATTTAGAGTAAGATAAAAGCTAGACAGATCATGTCATACTGCCTCTTCTACGCTGGCTTAGTGGTGTGGATATTTGCTGTTGGTTTTTTTTTTTTTTTTTTGCCTACTATTCTTGCTGAATAATAAATATTTAATTCAGCACCTTTTATGTACATTGCTCTAGAATACAGTCATTGGTCATGGATGGAGCACAACTCACTAGTCTATAGTGATATCGAACCTATTATTGTAGTTTCCATAGCATGAAAACATTCTTGAGCCAAATTATCACTATTTAGAGGTCATTTGGCCATTGGAAAGAAACTCTAACTCTTACTGTTGTTGCCTGCTTGGCTCTCTTAGTTAGCTTCTTATGAGATTCTAGCCCAAGATCCTACATGCTCCATCCTTGCTTCCTTTCAAAATGTTAGAGACAGTAACCCTGCTGCCCTGCATAGCTCCTGTGTGGACAGAGGGTCAGCTTAAATCTGTCCTTTTTCTCAGG